GAGGCCTACAAGCCACTGCAGCGAGGAGGACCTGCAATGGTCCAGTCTCTCTAGACGCGACCGTCATGATGTCTCTTTCCTCTGTGCAGCCAATTGTCGCCAGTATCAAGCTCGTCAAAAATGACCGATACACTTCTCCCCTTCAGGGCCGGTGCTGAGCTGCGACACCGTCAAAACCATCGCCGAGCGCTGCGGCCGCAGCCCGGCTCAGGTCTGCCTGCGCTGGAACCTCGAGAAAGGCGCCTGCCCCACATCCATGAAAAGCCGCAGCAGTGTCGGACGTCGTGATCGGGAGCCGGGATGCCTTTGCCCCTTGCTTTGGCTTTTGTGGGAGGCAATGCCATTGTTTTCAAGAGCCTCACACCCTCCCGGATTGAGGAGAATGCCTGGGACTTGGAGGTGGTCCACTGCCCTCTTTGCATTTCCGAGCCCGAAAGCCGAGGTCGACGTTTTCGACTTCTCCCTTGGTAGCGACGAGGTGGCGGCGCTGGATACAGTGACCACCCACAAGGTGCGGGCGGAGGCACAGAGCACGGACCCCAGCCCAGGCGAGAGGGTTTCCATGCATTTCCCTGGGTTTCTTCAGCTCAGAAGCACATCCGAGCCGAGGCCACTGGCACCTGCGCCGCAGCGGGACGGATGCGCCCCGGGGTCCCGGTCTGCGGCCCGAGAAACGGACGGTGCAGGAGGCCTCGGGACGTGTTTGTGCCGGGTGTTCCCATACCCGTTGCATGCCTGTCTGTGGTGGCCACATATCTGCAAGCCAAAGTTCCCGGTTTCAATTCGCCTCGCATGTGCCTATCCGAACGTTTTTCTTTCGGAGTTCTCGTGCGAGTGCAAGTCCATGATTGTGGCCACGGCCTTGTGACACATGACGCGAAGCCTGAGGCTCCGTTGTGAAGTGTGTTGTTCTTGGTTTCTTTGTTGTGTTAGGGGACGCTCGCATCGAGAGATTCTGCAGGCCAGACGCAAAGCTACGTCTCAGCTTGTCCTGCCAGAGCTGCCGGTGGAGCAGGGGCCTGTGATGATCTTGCATGTGCGATTCAGTCTTAATTTAGGCCATGGTTCGTTTGCCAAGGTTGCTGGAACATCTCTCCGGCTTCTTGGAGGTCACAGATTCTCCACCTCTCTGCGCTCAGTGCCGCAACCTTTCGCAGGCTGGGAATCGGTTGACATAGCTATAACCACCCATGCCCTTTTTGCCAACACCAGGACAAATAGTGGCAACAAATCGTACCCTCCCCCACGCAACTCGTCTGCTGGATTGGACTTCAAACTACTAAACTCACCAGACTTTTGCTTGTCTCCCTTTCCTGGAGTTCCTAACCCTCCCGCATGGCCCGTCTCATATTTTGACCTAAGCTAGGTGCAAATTCTTACACCGGGAACACGGCGGGATAGCTAAGGTGGGAACGCTCTGATCCTTGATGGGCTCTGATTATACCGGCAGCCCTGATGGGAAGCAAAGGAGCCTCGATGGCCACGGCTAAGACCCCCACAGCCACTGAAGACAAAAGCCCAAAAGCCCAATCCTGCAGGAGTCCACGTCGCGTCCTGACTATGACTATAGGCGATAGATTAGGGTGGGAAGGACCTGAGGACCTGTATACTACTCATGGTTGAAGCCCACGTTACATTCAGGACGGGAGCTTCGGGTGGCCCGGCCCCCGGTTCTGAACAACTTGCAAAAACTGTATCCGACTCGACAACCTGTAGATTCAGACATGGGCGGGCCAGGCGTTTTTTTTTTCTCCGGCGGCTTCCGAGGGATCCATGAGGCTGCTTTTGCTCGAAGGACTGTTTGCTTGAGACGTCACCTGTAGCGAAGATGAGGTAGTCACTGCATATGGAGCTTCGATGTTGGACCCAGCGTGCAAGACAAAGCTGAGGTGGGCTGATCCTTCCGCTCGGCATCTTCAGTTTCCCAAAGGTTTTGCTGTGCGAGGTTCGCAAGGTCTTTGCAAGACGGTCGGTCTCAACCATCAAGTTTGCTTTGGTTTGAAGCGTGAAGAATGTTTGTGAAGGGAACAGCAGATTGTCATATCTACATGGCGTGCCCGAAACGCTAAACCCCGAAC